TGTAAGGGAGTGGGAAGGAAGGAGTAAGAAATGCGTATTATGCGGATGTGTAGGATAGATATCGGTTTACCCTGGACTTGAATATAACCAAGATTGTAGTTGTCAGGGAAGCATCCTCTTGGAAGGTCTGTTCCACAAAGTAACAGTTCTGGGGAAGAAGTTGTCCAAATGGAACTTGCTCCTTATCAAAGTAACACGAAGGGAATGTGGATGGTTTGCCGCCGTGAACATCATCGCTGTGAAAGTCTGACCTCTTGGGACTAAGGAATGTATCTTCAATAGTAAGAGTGATAAAGTATCGAGAAGCGAGCAACGTTTCGTCTGTAGGATAAGGTTACAGAGTGTGAGATAATTCATAAAGACATGGAAATAGTTTGCTGCAATACTTTAATATTGATATTAAATATTAATATTAAATTATCTGTAGCTTAGTGTTGATTCTTGCAGTGGTTTGATTTAATATTTGGGATTTCCGAAAAAGGGATAGACCCTTGAGGTGTTTACACACCCCAATATAAAAAAATCCTTAGAGTGTTACAATTATGTAAAATATTGTCGTACTGTTGATAAAAAAAAACAAAAAAAACAAAACATAACAGGCAATCTCCGTTAGGATATAAATTAAATCAAATCTTGAACTTGTGGAGGTTGTGTGAATGGATTAAATTATATTGATCAAAAATTGTTTGTGATGAAATTAACAATTTCCTCTCACATTAAATTTCAGTATTCAACAAACATAGAATAAGGACAACATGAGTGTTGAAACTTGACTAATGCATGGAATAATAATGCAACACAAAATGTACTTAGAACAAAATGTATTGAAACAAGAAATTGTACACAATATTTACATATAATCTTTTGTATATTCCTGGTAAGACCGTTCCTGGAGAATGTGTTGACTGAGTCGCAGTCGGGCAGAGTCTCTGGTTGAATCTCTTGATTCCTCCCTCTCTTCCCGGTACCAACCATATTTATATGGTCGGTACTCCACTATGCAAATTAGGTGGATCCTACCACAACAATGAGAAACAACATTTTTTGCACAACAATGAATAAAATATTTATATAACAAAGAGGTACAAACAACTGGAGTAAAAAGGTAGTTTTAAAAAGTTCAAACGTCCTTTTATGTTTAGATGAAAAGTTATCAAAGTTCTGGTTTGATAGATTATAATTTGTTGAATGGTCTGTACAATAACGAGAAAGTGTGTTTGGGTATTATAGTAATTTAAGAAAAAAATAAACAGTCAAAGTTTGTATTTGAAATAGAGAAATATTGTTTACGACTTACTTTAAGGTTTACGGAATTGTCGTTCTTTGATTTGTTTTCAGTTGTTCAAAGAGAATATTCTAGTTGGGGTAAATGGTTCTTGAAAGCGTATGAAAAATATTCGTGTATTAAGTTGAATGTGGAAAACTTGAGTTGATTGTTCGTCATAAAATATTGCTATGTGAATGAGTGTTCTCTCAGGCTGGAATCATGTTAAGGAACTTTAACGTAAAGCCGGAACTGTGTTACGAGTTCAAAGGATTCCGATCGGCGCACTGTCGAAGATGAAAGACGTTTCATATTTTATTGCTAACTTTGGTCACGTGATAGGCTCACAGAAGCTTGATAGATTTTGGCGAAATTATCTTTTTGGTCAGGTCAAGAACTAGGTCGATTTTATTAAATATTAAGTAACCAATTAGAAGTTGAGATTTTCTGAAAATATTTACTAAGCTAAATAAGCTCTGTGATCCACTTTTTGTACGAAAATTTGATATTGATAAAAAAAGGTGGTAGCCGGATACTAAAAACTCAAGATATAATTATTTATTGAAAGGAAAATTATAATCTCCTTGTTGCATAAACATATGTTCTAAATTGTTGGTGAAACACACCAATACAATAATTGAGAAAAATTTTATTCATCAAAGATAAAATTGAAATAAATCACATTAGCTACTCATAATTACAGTACTGAAAGAGTGTTTATAAATATATTATACACGACAAATCTCAGACGGATTTTTCTCACTAGCGGGGGCGGGGGGGTATAGAATTTTTGGAACATTCTATATTCATAAACATTTACATTCATTATACACCATAAATGTTAAAACATTTTTTTTCAAAATGCGTTCATGATCAATACAATGAATGAAAGTAGAACTTAGTGATAAATTTTGACTAACATCTTATGCGTGGAAAATGATATAATAAATCTATATATATCAGATACATAGTGGGTAATTGAATAAAAAATAGAAAAACATTCTATATAACGCGTTTGACCATTCAAAAGGAGTTTCAGACTAAAATAATGTTTTATTAATGGAATTATATATAGGTGATAATATAAACAAAAGCCTCGATTTTAATTATACATCGAATGAAACGTTGAAGATGTAGGGATGCTAAATGTATAATTGTATCTTTATTTGACCCCCACCCCTCCCCACATACATATAATTCCATCAATATTGTTATTCTTTTAGTCTGAAGTCATTTTGAAGGACGTAACGCGTTACATAAAATATTTTTCCATTTTGTCATTCCACTACAAACTAAGTTTCTTATTTAATTTTTAATATTTAAATATTTAAAGCTATATTATAGTTAATCTTTATTGATTAGTATGTCGGTAATACCAATCAGAACTGACTTGTTTGTCGCCCGAATAGAAGTTAGTAGAATTTAATATTAAAAAAATGTGATCGCGCAAATAATTTTATAAGCAACAACATACACTTCATCAATCAGCTATAACATTAGATGAAAAAAAAAAGTGAAAATTTTAATCTGATATTGCATTTAGTTTATCGATTCTTTACAGTTAGAATTTATTAAAAAAAGAAAAAGAAAAACATAGGGCATTGTTATTCATTTTTCAGCAATAACAATTTTCAGGTCACTCTACGAGTGCTACTGATACGATGTAACCCAGTCTTACCTGCTGTATGATCGGGTCATCAGCCTCTAAACCGGTTCTTTCCCAAGGTTTTTTTTTTTCTGGCGAGGAGAGTAGATAGATACGCAGCAGCATTAAAAACAAAACCTGTCAAAGGGACAAATTAACTTTCTTGCAAGGTCAACGGCTATCTAGGACATTGAGGTAGACTGGGCTCCATAGCTATGGATGCAACCAGTACTGGAATGATACTGCATCGCTGGGAGGAGGGCTTCCTAAACTGAAGTCAATGGCCACATATCCGTGGCCAAGGCGAGTCTTCAAGTTAGGGGGTAAGGGCGGTGGCTTGACCTGGAGAGGATTACTCTGTCGGGTCTACTTGGTCAAGATAAACTACAAATGAATGAATATCTTTCCGGCTTTCAAGTCAACTATTTGGAGGGAGCTGATTAGGTGCTCAGTTGCGCACTGATCCTAAGACCACAGCCGGCATATAATGTATGCGCGCGCGTATTTGTGTACTTTCTGGCATTCGTACTTTAAACCGGTTAACAATAGTCGAATTCTCAAAACTGCAATCTCTGACGAAGCGGAACCGCAAAACTGGCCATGCGTATCGATTTAAATTAGCTTCTTAACAAATACATTCGTCTTCTGTCACCTTATTCTTTGCCCTCATATGATCTATTTTTCTTCTTTTGATGTATGAAAAATACACTTTATTTTCAATCAAATAGGGATAAAATACCGTAATAATCATAAAGCAGAACGGTTACGGTTGTCTGCATGGTTACTATCGGTTGTCGATTGTCTACCATCAAATAAGGAGCGTGTTGTTTATAAACTTGTAACATGAATTTATTTCTGTTCTACGTGAGAATCAATTTCCAAATTTATTCTCGTCTCGAATCTTTTGCGCCGACTAAAAGACAATGTTTATCGAATTGTACATTTTGTCTCCTTCTATTTCCATATGCATCTGTTTGTATGTGCATTAGTGCTAGGTGGAAAATCATACGCTTTATACATTCTCCTATCTCGCCTTCTCACTCTGCCTTGTGTGTTTCGGGCCGAGACAAATATGCGAACGCTGGTAGGACGACCGTGTTAATCAGATGGCTTCATTTTAGATACGGTGTTAAATGTCTATCTCAGATTTTATTCAATATTACACTGCGAGGAATGAACTAGCTTGATTTGAAACCACTTTTAGATTTTGCCATGTACGTAACAACGAACCTTAAAAGATGTAGCGTCAATATTACTCTAGAAATTTTTACACACACACACATATATATATATATATATATATATTATATGCGCGGTACTTATTAGAAAGCGCTCAATATCAGAGATAGAGCTAACATATTTGGTTGGATTGATGTGAGTTTGTGACTCTCGGTTTCACGTTTTTGCGATCGTCAGACACTGATTAATATTTTAAAATTTTGGATTTATGTAGATTGCGTGTATTGGTGTTATTATGGAAGTGGGGGGATCATCGTCGTGATGTCACTCATGATAATGCAAACAATATATATATATATATACACACACACACACACACACACCATAACACACACAAAGTTTGTGTATGTGTATATATATATATATATATGCGCACACACACACACACACACACACAGGGTGTCCGTAAGGTTCGTGTGCACTTTAAAAAAATTATAATTTTATTTGTATTTGAAATAGAAATAATCTGTAAAAAATGTTATAAAGTTTAATGTACCTAGTTTTAAGTATAGCTAAAATAACTAATGTGATTTCAGGCATTACTGTAAATCAGTTGGCAAATGTTTTCCGTGAACTGCAAAATCGTATTACACTTTGTATTGCTAATGATGGAGGATATGTGGAAACTTAAATAAAATTTCAATAAAACCTTTAAAAAATATAGATTTACTTCTTTCTAATGCTTTTTACAAATTATTTCTATCGCAAATAGAAATAAAGTTATAAATTTTTAAAGTGCACACGAACTTTATGGACACCCTGTGTATATATATATATATATATAGTGCACAATAATATATTAAAAACTTCCATCAAGCATAAACTTGTGTTCTTCTCATCCCTTGAAGACTTTCCTTAGGATCACCGAAGTTAAGTAACGTCGAGCCTGGTCAGTACTTAGATAGGTGACCGCTTCGGAATACCAGGTGCTGTAAGCATGGATGTGCGGTTTAATGAATAATGGATCGGAATTGTTATTCAGAAAGGCGAATTTCAATTTATGTTTGCTTAGTTATCTTAACCTAGGCGCAAATACGCTTGGGAAAGATATGAATCCATATTTTCTCCCTGTAACTATGGGTTAATTAGTCAGACTTGTATCACTCATCTATTATTATCTCAAAACATTTCTTACAGTCTAAACATATTTACTAGCTTCAAATAACCTGGATCACATGAAGGAATGGACAATTACTCTACCGCTCTGGCCCAATGAAAGTCGGTAGGGGCGGATGTGATGCACCTAGGTGATCATGTCTCTTTTCGATTAATGATCGCCCAAGAGTATTTGCGCATAAATGAACGTAACGAACCCGGCTGGAAATTTGAACCCGGCTCTTCGATTTCTCGTCTCGGTTAGTCATCCATTACACCACCCGTACATTGCACATCTAAGCTTACAGCACCTGAGATTTCCAAGCGGTCACCCATCTAGGAACTGACCAGTCTCGACGTTGATTAACTACGGTGATATGACGAGAACCGGTATTTCAACTTGATATGGCCGTAAGCCATAAAATTGTGTAATGTTCAGTAATTCAATGGTGAGAACATGTTCTGCTTTCACGCAAGCTTACACGTATGACGTAGAATAACATTTTTCTGATGATTGACACGAGCATGAAACTTTGAGGAGCCTTGTGCAATAAGTAACCACAACATAATTATACACACACACACACACACACATATATATATATATATATATATATATATATATATATAGCAACATCTAAAAATATGTTCCAATTTACTCTAGATTAAGTATTCAGAAAATATCCCTGGAGTATAGTATATTGTCAGATGTACAAGATTGCAAATTACAAAAATGAATACATCAACAACCTCAGATCTTTCTTGGACTGCAACATAGGTCTGTACTCTCGTATGTACACGATCGTACAGATGGCGACTATCATCGTGCGATACATTATTCCATGCCTCCTGTTCCTGTTGAATTAATAGTGAGAGAATTGTAGGTGGGCTAATTGAACGAGTTAGAGGTTGTCCCATCATGTCTTATACATGTTCAGTAATGAGAAAGGTATGAAAATTTTTCATGTTAGGGGAAACTGTCTAACATGTTGTATAGCACGAGTATAGCATGTGGGTAGCCATTATCGTGCTGGAACATTAAAATGGCTGCTAACCAGATTGAACTATGTTTTGGACCAACAAGGCGTTGTTCAACATTCACAAACTATAAAGACAGGTGAAAATGAACTTTTGCACTATAATACCAGGTGCTAGGCCTGTGCCAGAAGGAAATACACGTTGAACACGTAAACTTGTGAGAAGTGCGTCATGGTAGAACGTACTCTCGCCATTGAATTATTATTTTAGTATAGGTTTCTAGTATGTCAGCCATCTTACCATGGATTCTAAGTTGTTATATCGGGTAATGAAATAAATAGCAGACAAAATAGCTAAAGATGTCATCAACAACATCAGCAATCTTACGATAAAGAATTCAAAAACAAAATGAAGAAAATTATATCTAAAAAAAAATTGCAAGTAATATGGAACTCAAAACCTAACAAAATATACAGTAATCAAGCAATTGTAGGAAAATGGCTTCCAGGTTTCATAAATATAAGACGTAAGGAAATAGTTTTATCCAGATGCTGAATATGACATACGCATCTGACACACTCACATAAAAAAAATGAAACGCTTCTTTCATGCAACAGATGTTAAGTACCTCTCACAGTTAAACATATACTCATAAGTTTCCATCATCTCAGTCAAACTCAAAACAGAATATTATCAGCCAAAAAAATACAAAATAACTTTTCAAAACACTAAACCTAAACAATTTTCTTAACTTCTTAAAAGAAATCAAACTTCATATCAATATAATACTATAAAAACTCTCAACAAAACTACATAAAATCTTTAACATATTTTGAAAACTAAAAAAAAAAAAACTCTTCAGACTTCATAAATATTCCCACGAAGAATAACGATGCAAACTCTAATAACCAAGTTCTATCAGAAATAGAATACAAAATAGCTTTTATTAGAAACCAACAACTCTAATAACTGATTAAAAAAATAAAAACTTTCACCACCTAACCTGTACCCAAAACTATCACTGATCGACATGTCACAATTCAAATCATTTATCTGACCTTAAATAACCTTTTAGAAATCAATATAACAAAACACAACCAAACCAAACCATTGAATTACTGAATATTACAGTGTAATTTAATCCCTAACTACTGTCTAGTCGTGATTGTAGTCTTCCTGCAAATACACGATTCCTAACGTTTCGTGCTGAAACTCGTGAGATCATATTTGCTCCGATCTGTACTGTTGACATCGTGCGATCTGCCAGTATTGCTTTTACAATGCGTTAGTTTTGGCGAGCGTCTGTACTATGCGGTCGTCTAGAAACTTACTCGAGTATAGTAATGCTGAATTTTTGGTAACAATTTTTTGGTAACAATAGTCAAAGGCTATTGTTACCAAAACTAAAAACATACTAATTCGTCACATTGAGCAAACATCTATTCTCCGAAATAATCATCCAGCTAATCGAAGGTTCACAATCCGATCCTTGTCAAACAATTTCATGACATTTGGACTTATCGCAGCATGTGTCACTGTTTAAAGATCAGGCGTGGACAACCATACTGATATGTCTTGATCCGTCAAAAAGATAACCAAGACTTGGAAGACTTTATCATAATATCCATTATCCTGAAGCATATATATATATATATATATATATATATATATATATATATATATATATACACACTACTCATATCTATCGTCAAGGTGTTTGCAATTATATTTTTCAGTGTATATATGTATATATATATATATATATATATATATATATATATATATATATATATATATATATATATATATATAAATTAAAAAGTGTGAAGCTTGATATAACTAGACATTTCTAAAAAAGAAGCAGCAGTTTCCTTCCGCTCATCAGGCCTCTACAGGAATTTAACAGAATTAAAAAAGACTAGAAAATGTGCAATGAGAGGAAAAAAAATAATTGAACAAAAGAGCTAGAGACAAATAACGGTGAGACCCAACAAGCATTCACGCTGTTTACACAGGGCAGGTTTGCAGGACCCGATATAAAGTACCTCCAACACCTTGAGATGAAATAGAAAGTGCGACCGGGACAACACAGTGAACAATCAACACTAATATATATATATATATATATATATATATATATATATATATATATATAATGTGAGTGGTTAGAACGTTAATCATGAGCCCCTTGTCAAAATCACACAATGGTCGATTTGTCAGGAGGAATCTTTCTTTTGGTAATATCGGTCTGAGAAGACAATTCTAACGTGTGGCACCACTGGAAAGTGCCTGAAAATTATAATACAGGTCGACTCAAACCTTGTTAATAAAACTGGGTAGGCGAAACTGATCGGAAGCCGTCTATGCTTGTGCGAGCACAAAGTCACAAGTCATCGCGACCGAGGCTTTGAGCGTACCGGCTTTGCCGAACTACTGATTACGCAGAAACTAGCTAAGGTCTGCTGAGCATAGTCGCTGTATAAACCACAAGTTGGTTCTGTGGGTGTTGAAACACAAATGTGCCCGAGCAGGCGTCTGTAACAGGGATTAGCTTAACGCTCTAACAGACGGTTTTACTAGGGCTCACTCAAATTTCGTAGACTTCACAGTGGAGTATGGGGTCGTAACATGTTACTAGGTGTTATTGCTATAGTTTCCGTAGCAAAGAGGTTTTATTAGATGGAGTTGCTAGCCACATGCCCAACTGAGTCTGAATTCAAAGTTGTCTTCTTTCTAGACTCGTTGTTCATAATCTCCAAGACTATCATAAATGATGTGAACTTTATATACATAATATCCATGACGCAATGGCACATGTCCCTCTTATTCACCTAATCATTTTCAACAGAATATCACAGAGTCGCTTTGTTTCGTGACTGTGTTAAAATTGGCTAAATACTGCATAACATTACGTTCTATTTATGCCCGCGAAAGATAAATTCTCAGTACCGACGTTATGTTTGTATGTATGTATGTACAGGGTGTCCATAAAGTTCGTGTGCACTTTAAAAATTTATAACTTTATTTCTATTTGCGATAGAAATAATTTGTAAAAAGCATTAGAAAGAAGTAAATCTATATTTTTTAAAGGTTTTATTGAAATTTTATTTAAGTGTCCACATGTCCTCCATCATTAGCAATACAAAGTGTAATACGATTTTGCAGTTCACGGACAACATTTGCCAACTGACTTACAGTAATGCCTGAAATCACATTAGTTATTTTAGCTATACTTAAAACTAGGTACATTAAACTTTATAACATTTTTTACAGATTATTTCTATCGTAAATACAAATAAAAAGTGTGTGTGTATGTGTGCACACACAGACACACATACATATATATATATATATATATATATATATATTAAACATTTTACAGATTATTTATATCGTAAATACAAATAAAATTATGAATTTTTAAAGTGCACACGAACTTTATGGATACCCTGTATATATATATATATATATATATATATATATATATATATATATATATATATGTGTGTGTGTGTGTGTGTGTGTGTGTCATTGTGCAAGACATTTTCATGTTATATTTAAATTTTAAACTATCCTTTTTGAGATAAAAAAGTATTGGACACACTTGATAAAATCACCCTCATAACTGCCGCGATAGTAAATGGCTGTTACACCTATTGTCGCCCTGAAGAGGATGCCAGTCGCACGCGCGTATCTAGAGCTTCGTCACCAAGCAGCGATTTGTAAACTTGACTCGTAGGCTACTAATACTATGGTAGAATTGGTTTTACTCTTTGAGTGCCTCTTATACGTGGCCTTATGATAGACCAAGATACGTTTAATATATTAACGTAGCTTTGTTGAGCATATCTATGTGTGGGTGTTCAAAATTTACTATATTCACGGGGGAAAAGCGTTGAGTATCGAGGATAGAACGTTTGTGGATACAGTGTGAGCATAGTAATCGACTTTGATTGGTGACTATCAGTTTCACAACGTAAGTGATCATCAGACACGATGGATCTGGTTATGATCGCTTAAGGCGTGAATCTGACATCAGTGTGCGATGTTGATTTTTATGCACACACTGTTTATTTGATGATTTTCTAAGCGTAGCTTCGATGTGGCACAAGGTCGGAAGTATAGGGAACCCAATGAGGATCGAACTCACTATTCAGTCGTAACAGTTCTAGCGAGACAAACTTGCTAACCATTATATCACGTCGAGGTTCCCTACACACTGTTTATATGTGTATATACACATGCTTATAATTACGCTCGTACGCACGCACAAAAAATAATAGATAGATAGATAGATTCATTTTATACGCATATATTACACAACACAATGCTTCCTCAGTAATGTCTATTCTGGGATCATAGAAAGATTCGGGCCACAATGACATCAGACTTTCTCTTCCATGGACCCATATATATATATATATATATATATATATA